GGGGGGGGGGGGGGGGTGCAGCACCCATCCAAGTCGGAGTGCCATAAAAAATATTTTGAATTGAAACTTATTGTGTACAAGATTTCAAGGGAACCTTTGTTTTCTTAAATGAAACAATACATATTTTTATACATCTTTTGATGCACTGTGAAGTGCTGGCAGGCTGAAAAGGATGGGAAATCCCAATGGGTCAAGTGGCCCATCGATATGTCCTATTGCTGTAGAGGATGGCGCTTAAGTAAAGCGCAGGTGATCATCTTTGGTCATCGACTGCTGCGAAAACCACCCCTTCCCTTTGCCCGAACCCTCAATCTCACAAAAACAAAAAATAAGTTACCGATCTGTCCAGTTTTATCACCAAATTTTCAGGACAAAAGAAAAAATAAAGCGAATATTGTATAAAAGTACCGCTTATGAGCTGCTTAAATACAATCAATTACCGTAATGTAAAAGATGTGTACATACTACACCAAATTATTTGTTATTTGGTTATTATAAACTCGCGAAATTCGATTTATTTATGGATAAGGTTGTAAACCGCATTCTTCGACCGATCAAATTGTCGCAATGTTGCTGTGATGGCAGCAAAAAAAAATTATTCCATCACCTTTTTGAACAGAGTATCTCGATGGTATAGCTAAGGTGGCTAAATGTAGCAATGTTTCGCTAGGACGTCTTTCATGCACTCATTCACCTTTTTCATAAGTACAACAAGGCCAACGATAACTATCAACAATATCGACGGCAATTATAAACAACACACGATCGTAGCGAAGAACGCTGTTGCGTTACGAATACAAGCAGTAAACTCTCTCCATAGAGATATAAAGATAGAGTGCATGAGCGAGTTGAAAAATGCGATATTGGATTAGAAAGAGAACGCTGCATAGGGGCGCCTTGTGTTCTTGTCTAATAAATATCCAATGGTATATTTACCCACGGTAAATATAAAATAAACCATCGTGTGCCAAGGAAAAATTCCGTTTATCAGTAAACAGAATTAATACTAATTTGTAGCAATAAATTTTAGATTTTTGGGAGCGATGGTCGTAAATCCGCATGGAGAAAAAAATACGGGCTTGAATCCAAAGAATCTATATCAAATCCCAAAAATATAAAGTCCCAAAATAAAATATGGTCGTGAATCGGTGATAGCGTGGGCCAGCGAGTGGTGTTGGAAATCTTATTTTCACGGATATGTTTTTAGATAAGACGAAATATTAGACAATTTTGAAGAGCAATTTGAAAAATGATATAAATTAATTAAATTTGCCAGGAATTGATTGCTTCCAACAAGACAACGGTCCGAAACATTCGGGAAAAATTCTATTATCGTATAATAGCAAAACAAATTAGCATATTCTCCACAAAGTCCTGACCTCAATCCCATTTCTTATTGAGCATTTATGGGACGAGCTGTAAAGGAGATTAAGAACTACGAAAGAACTGAAGTACAAAACTCGTGAAATATTGCAATCTATCGATGTAAATATTACACCAAAGATAGTCTCTTCAATGGAGAATCTTCATTGAGAAGCAATAAAAGCGAAGGGTAAGTCGACACTCTGCTAAACATTTAACTAGGGATACTTTTCTGAGCCATGATTCACTTCAATTCTAATAATATCATTCTATCTCAGATGTGTGTTTCTCTGATTATTCCATATTATTCCATATTTGATACAATTTCTGTCCTTTTAATATCAGTTCAATATTTAAAATTGTTCAGAAACGTAAAAGTGGCCTTAGCTTCGGCGTAAATGCATATTGAATATCCATAAAAATCCTCTCTTGTTGTAATCAATGTTGTAAGAATGTCATTCAAACAAGTAAAACGGTATTTCGTTATTATTTCGCTGCGTCTAGTGTTTCGCACACCTGAATTTTATTCGAGAAATGCTTCATTAAATAGTGAAAACGGCATCAAAATAGATCCAACGGTTCTCGAGATTAGCCTCAACATGCAGACACTTACCAAGAACTTTACTTTATACTATGTGCAGATATAGATGCATATAAAAGTTACGAGCCTTAGCATACTAACATTGCAACCTGACCGGCCTCTCGCGCGGCTCGAAGCTCGACTCTTAACAATATCCTTCGCCATTTAGTGTGTTATTTGTGAAGAAATGCAAACCAACGGTAGCATGTATATCTAAAATACCGCACCAGACATTAGTACTAAAACGTATTTGGTTACTCGTATGCATTTCTTCGAAACTGGGTTTTCTGTAATCCGCGTGTTATGCCTATTGAATATCTCATTATTTATAAATGTACATTCATCTGTCCATACAATCTCT